ACTGATTCCTCAGCTGATGTCCTCTGACTCACTACAGAGTTACAGCAGGGGGAGATCTGCAAACCTCTACTCATTGGTCACAATGGACACAGACACATGGTTTTGAAGACAAGATGTGAACAGTCACTGTCACTGTAAGTGTCTGTGTCACTCAGGAAAGAAGTCATGCAACATACTGCTGAAAATACATCCAAAATTTAACTCAACATACTCTGGGGAAAAAAAAGAATCATCAAAACTGTAAACTACGCATCATCATCTAGGTCTGTTTACAGCAGCTTCTTGAGAAGAAATCATGCAAAAAAGGCAAAGGCTTGTGAAGTAGTATAGTAAAGTGAAGTATAAAGCACGAACATCTCTAACGTTCATGCCATATTTATTTATAGATCATTGTGTTATTAAACTGGTCTTTTAACAACTGTTAGCTCATGTGGATTGTTTTACACCCTTTCTTTTACATCTGTTTTAAAGGAGGCATGTTCAACAATCCTTTTAAATACTCCTACAGTATGGATGCACACACTATAACAAGAAACCTCTGATTTTTTTCCCCTTAAAAATCACAACAATAGGTTAGTACCTACAAAATCTTAATGCTTTATTTTGACAAATTTCCATTCTGTAAAACTCAATTAACAGATCATAAAAAAAGAAAATCATAAACTAAACATCCACAGCCAATCACCAGCTGATCTGAGAATCACCAGAAAGCATTGAAAAAGACAACAGGCAATAACAAAGTACTTCTGTTAACAGTCTCTAGCTCTTTTAGTCATTTTTATAAAGACATCTGGTTTGGATTTTAGCAGAATAGATACGTATGATGTGTAACTGATAAGTAGCCCAATGACTACATGAGCTTCTCAGTACTGCTGCACTCACAGCCCCATTGGAGTGCAGGCAACTGCACTGCTTTAAGACCATAATGATGTTTCTTTTGATGTTTGGATGTGTTGTTGGTTTAGAAAGGCACACAAAGGCTTAAAGCATGACCATACAAAAGACAGATACACAGAATTTGTTCCCGTGATAAAGTGAAACAGCTTTTCTCCAGACTGTCAACAAAGCATGATGATGTAGTGTAACGCCGCTGTTATGAAAAAGCTTTTTCACCAAGTGCAGGCATAGATACAAACAGCCATCTAGGAAATGAGAAAAGGCCTCATCCATGGATAATGGTCCGTCACATCTCATGATGGTTTCCTTTAGAAGAGTAAATAGCACTAAATGGGAGGTTGATTGAATAACAGAATTGTCATGTATACCAGATGGCAAAGGCCTTGCACCTTACCATGACACCAAGAAAAACAAACAGCTTCAAAGCTGCATTATTTCTAAACAGCCTCTAAATAGGATGGGATGGAAATGACCATAAAGAAATGATGTGATAAATAACAGCTGGAAATGCAAGTGCTAAATATCATTGACATCAAGTTGCTATGCTGGGAATTTCTAATGTGTAAGCCCACTGTTGGCAAACATCCATCTGAACGCAGCCATGTCCCTGCCCTTGCTGCAGTAACAGGGAAAAGAAGGAGTAGTTTCTCCACAAGACAATTTACCTTGTACTTTATGTTGCAATTCTTCATTTTAGCCTTTGTAATATAATAACATCCATTCTTTCAAAGGCACAATGTTGATTTAAATTTTTGCCATTGTGAATTCAGTTTTAGATGCTTGTGTCCTCACTAAGCTTAAGCTCGTTCTTGCTGGGTTTTTTTCACTCTTCTCTCAGGCTGTAAATACATGAAATCAACTGCTGATGTCATGGAAACATGCTCCAGGACTGAACAATGCCAGCCAATCCTATTAAAGAGCCCTTATTAAAATGGCTCTTTAACAAACTGGCAATCACTGATATGTTTTTTTTTGTTTGTTTTTTTTTTTTACTTTATTGTGATACATGGACTCAGGATAACAGCTAATAGCAATGCTCTATTTTGATGCATTTAAAATTGAATGGAGGTAAATCCACTTTCTTTTGTATATTTTGCAATAAATATTCTATCAATGTGTTTAACACAGCAGTAAAAACCACTTACAGCTGTAGCTGATGCTAGAAGATATCGGACTGATATCAGTATGGGCAGATACTCCAAGTTGCAGTATCAGTATCAGCCACAAAAAAATTGTTTCGAACCACCCCTATCAGGTGTCAGATGTAGGTTTTGCTTAATGCTGGTATATTTTCAGAAAAAAGATCTACTCATAACTGAAAAACAGAATTAGTGAGCTATTGGTGTCAAGGCCAGATTCACCATCAAATCTAACTGATTTTAGCATATACAATGTATGAAAGAAAAGGTACTACAGTATTGGGGTATTTCCTACCATATGTACATCACAAGTTTTGGCAGTGAACTAAACATGATAAAAAAGCTATTCTACAAAGCAAAAAGCCCCAGCATCTTTGACTACAGGACTCATAACAATGTTGCCAACTACGAGTGTAGTTGGCAACACCCTGAAACAATGTTGTTTCACAACATTATCTCTTCAAAGAGTAAATACACAACCTTGGCTGTGCCAGTGACTCCAAATCACGTTGTGCTGACATTCTGTGTTCTCATACACAAGCAGCCAAGAAAGTCCAAAGTGAAAACAATGTCACAAAATCCCCAAGGTTACCAGCACTCCACCCTCTTCTTTTCCATCTTCTCTGTCATTCTTTTTGATTCTTGGTCACTTTTCCCAAAACCACTCAACTGTCAGCTAAGAGTACTGCAATCCTACTTCCTACCAATCTATTCTTTTTTTAACCCCCTTCAGTCCTTTCAGCCTTCCTTTTCTTTGGAGATCTAGGAAACACCAACACATTGAAGAAGTCTTCCAGCCAAAAGGATGTGGACAGGAGCAAAACAAAAAACAAGCCATGTGCTCACTCACATTTCAATTATACATAAATATTATAAAGATGTTGTCCTAAGTCGTCAACTAAAAATAATAGACTGCTTCCTTGAGTTATTTCAAAAATATTTTAATCAAGGGTGGCCCTTGATTAAGGGTGGTCAATGTCTCTGTCATTGGTATAGAACCCCAGGGTTCACCTCCTGGGCAAGTTTGAATCCCAGTTAGGGCGGTTGGTACCTTCCAGTGGACTCACCACCTGCAGGAAGGTTTAGGGGGTGTTGGTACAGTGCAGTGTGATTTGGGTGGCGGTCATGGAGACTGCAGCCCCAGCAACCTGCTAACAGATAAGCGGATGAAAATGGATGGATGGATATTTAATCATGATGTGAAAATGTGAAAATGTGAAAAGGAAAGCACTAAATGCTGTCCTTTCATTGAATGAATGATGTGCTGACACCAGTATTATTAAAAAAACACAACAGGTACAAAGCAGCTTTAACTGTCTGTACCTTGACATTAATTGGACATGTATATAAAGACGATGTTCTGTTTGGAAGTCTTATTTAAATATAATGTGCATTAACATAAAAACACTATTAAAGCCCAGTCAAGTATGAGTATTTAAAGGAAAAGTTTGCAATAGTGTCTTCCTATGATTTACATACCTTCACTCTTTACCATATCACTGTACAAACTACAGCAGTGACAACCTGTTGTAAAAGTGGGAAAATAAGTAAGCCATTTAACTCTGGAGCTCAGAAAACTAAGACCTCAGAGGAGACTTGTAGAGGTTGTAAAAAGAGGACATCCAAATAGTAAAATCAGAGCAGAAAGGTTTGGTTTGAAATGGAGGCAGATAATCTATTGTAATGACCCCTAAGGAGAAGAGCACAAAAAAGAAGACGAGGGAGAGTATCAGCATCATCCCAAGCCTCATTATTTCGGTTTAGGTTTACTTTTTTTGTTTTAAACCACAGACAGATATGTACAGGAAGGTTTTTGTTTTGTTGTTTTTTTTTTTTATGTTTTTGCTCTTTTTACTGCAGCAATTTTGAACACAAAATATCACACAGGTGGAATAAAATATTATTACAATGGATGTATGTGCTATATATACTCCTACTGACCAAAAGTTCCCAAAGTGACCACATGACAAATATGAAAGAAATCTAAGGAACACCCTCATATGTATTTCAATTCACAGCAAAATTGATTTTTTTTTCTGCTTTTGGGTGATAATATAGATGTGTTGTTTTACACCTGCCAAAAAGTTTTTACATTCAAGTGCAGTCCTTTATTATTAATGCATCTCATTACTCATTACACACGTGTTGGTTCAGACAGTGGTAACAGAAAACAGTTACCACCATCAATCCATTCCTTCATCTTCTTCACCTTTTTCAGGATGACATGAGGATGTGAATTCAGTCCCAGTGGTCGTCTGGAGAAGGTGGGTACACTTTCTGGATGTGTGGATGTCAGTCCATCACTGGTCCCCAAACAGAGGCACACAACCTTTTAACACTTGCATATGCACTATAGGATATGGTCAATTTCCAGTGTCCTTTAACCAAATCCCAGTATGTGATTTTGTCGGTGGGAGGAAGCCAATGACCACTTTTTTTAGAAGACCATGAGTAAAAGAAGGGGGCTTGCTGTAAGGCAAGACTGTTAACCACCAATCAACCATGTGGCAGTAGTTAGACTAAGTTGATGGAAAGATACAACACATTTCCCCTGATGGTAGTGTTGATTTACCTTATTTATGCTGCGTGTATTTAAAGGTAAGTACAAGGTACTTTATAGTCAGTTCCTGCAGAACAGAGTTATAGCCACAGCATTACAACCGGCTTGTTTATGCGGTGTTTGATCTCTTTATTACACTGCTCAATCATGCAGAAATCCCCCTTTTTATCTAAGGGTATCCGTGTGATGTGGGAAAACAAAGGGGACTGACTGTCAACTTTTCCTCAGCCCTAATGTTCAGATTCGGTAAAAGGGTTACGGGGAAGTAAGTCTTTTTCAGAAATCTTTCTTCTACTTTTTTCAGCCTCATGTTAGTAGCGATGCATGACCAGGGTCAGGAGTCATGTGAACCCTCGTGAAGATAAAAAATTAAGTATATTAGAAGAAAGGGACTAAAGACTTACCTCCTCCACCGTGAGGGGCATGCATATCCTGTACTCCTTTAACAACATCTTCCCTCCGTGCGTCTCAGCGGTTTGTGTGAGTGTGTGCGTGTGTGCGTGTGTGTGTTTCACAGTGTCAATCCAGCCACCGAGCAAATTTCCCTCTGTCCAGCGACGGGATGTGACTGATGTCTGCAGACACGTCAGCGCAAAGGAACGGATGTATTTCCTGGTTGTGAAACACACTCCGAGTTACGGTTGACTTCTTGCATCGGAACCAGCAGACAGTTTCTCTAAAGGAGAACGTGAGAGCAGAAATGAGCTCGACTCAGGATTGTCCCCTCCTATTACAGCCACGAGTCAAGTCACATGTAAACAGTGACAAAGAACCGGAAATTGTGAGGTTGGCGGCTTCAAAATATTTTTTTTTTCTTGTGTATACGCCGTATGCAGTTATTAGCCCAATGGCAAGACTTGTTGCAACGAGGACAATTATGGGTTACTAAATAGAAAGAAAGAGTAGAAAATCTTCCACTTGATTACGTGACATCTTTGCCGTTACCTCAGCAGTGGGGTACATCCTGGTCAGTTCACCTGACTGTCACAGTGCAGTCTTTAAGGGCAAATAGCTGTATTTCACTTTCAGAGAGAATAAACTCCATCAGAAAGACAATCAGTTACTACTTCGGCTTGAGCCCTAGATCTTCTTGCTTTGAGGCAAAAGGACTCGCCATCATCTTGTTGTGTCTCGACTTACAGACTTAAAGGTTTTATTGACTGTCTTTTGTTTTCAGCAACACATAAAGAACACAGTTTTTATTTTTTGTTTTTTGACTTATTCGCTAATAAATCCAGAGGGTTTGTTGCGTCTATTATTTTGAAAATTCCTAATCGGATATGACTGTGATTTGTGTTGTTTAGCTATACACAATTCCATTGTAGATACCACTAGAAGTGTAGTAAATGTATAAAAAACACGTAATTGACGACCCCTTTCCGTGAATAATCGCGTCTAAAGTATATTTCATGTCGATCAGATGGAGTACAGACTAATGAAGAGAGGTCCAAATGGTTCACGTAGTTAAAAGAGCCGACTTCGGAACATTGAAACAGTCATCCTTCAGCGAACTATGACGCGGTATACCACCGTTAAGTGCAGCAGCATAGGCAACGTCATTGCACCGCTGCACCGACTTCACGTCGGTGTTATACACTCGCTCCAAAGGCGCAGCACTTCAAATTTCAACAGCAACATATGTGTTGTGCCCTCCACTACAACTTTGACTTTTAAAAGTAGAGACTTATTTTAGCTTTAAAGTGTATTGCGTGATCTCCAGTTAGCAATCTTGCTGATGAGCACTCTCCCCATACTCTCCTTTTTAAGACAGAGTGACATTTATGTAACGTTTACGCGTCTGACGGTTACTGTAACTCCCACCACCTCCCTTTAATTGGTAGAGATTAGACTCGATTAACAAAAACACACAGAGAGACAAGATGAGTCTTTCACCAGACATGTAACGCAACTAAGCTGACTTAACTTGAAGTAAGTAAAGTAGCAGTAAATACTGGACTTAGTACTGCTAAAACCGAGATTAAAATGGACGAAGAAAACAATTTAGAAAGTTCAGGAGGTGCCCTCATGATACTCTTCAATTAAGGTCTGAGTGTTTTTTAGCCTTAATGTATTAAGTTTAAGATGTTACTGTGATATAATTTTGGAAAATAGAAATGACCCCTTTGTGACCACTCTAAATTAAAAAAAGATCTGCATATAACATACATGACCCTCAACTACAGAAGGATGTGATACATCCTGCTCTGCTAGCGGAGCCTCCTGTCTGTGGCATTGTCTTTGTTTCCTGTTGTGGTGTATTTGTGACCCTATGATTACCCACTCCTATCCAGTGTGCTCCACTTGTGGCCTGTCAGTGGTCCTGTTTTGTATCTATTTACACTGTGTTCTCCTCAGTTCGTTGTATATGTGTAACATTGCTAGTGTTATTTTTCTAGTTAATTGTTTAGACAAATTTAGCTGGTCTTCGAATCCCGAGTCAGCCTGTTTACTTTGCTTCCATGGATTGACTCTTGTGCGTACCTCTGCCTGTATTAGACCACTCTTCAAATATTTGTGTTGTTGTTGTCTGTGTGTTATCCTTCCCTGCTCGGATGGAGTTGTGCATTTGAGTTCTGAATATCATCCATTATTTCTTAAGTCATTTATACAACAGAGTTTCATTTAATCAATTCAGTGACACAGGTGATTATACTGTATATAGGATTTATGTTTGACTTTCATATAAAGTACTGCAAAGTTTGTCAAACACCAACTGTGTGCTTCCTGTAATAAGATAATAACTCAGTCCTTTAAAAAGCAAATAAAAAGACCAATGCAAATACATTATTCCAGATTGAAGCTTGCTCAATAGCTTCAGGCAAACTGATAAAAAAAACAGGAACAGCTGAGATTCAACATTCTACAATGCAATCAATTTTGCTTGACCAAATTAATTTTGTAATAAACACATTCAAATATGGATGCATATACTAAATAAAAGCAAAACATATCAGAAGTCTTTCTGCAGAAACAAACTACAGTGCGGTATGGAAAACAGTATGGAGTGTCTTACAAAAGTAGTTGATAGAACTCATATGTGTGAAATCAAAGGCAAGATCAATAGGGCAGAATGTTCAAGGGCTTTAATTTATCACATTCACAGTAGATTAATCTTACATGTTCTTTGATGTGTGTTTCTAACTCAGAACTCTTACATTCTAAGAAAATTACCTTGACAGGTGACATAAACACTCAATAGCACTCAATAGCTATGTCCAAATAAGCCACTAATACATGAAAGGCCATTAAAACGTTATTTTAATTTAAACATGCAAAACACAATGAAAGTTAATTAGGATAAATGAATTAAATTAGTTTGTTTATTTATTTATTTTTGGAGATGTGTGTCTTTGGGCTTTTTAAACAACTAATGAATTTAATTTAATGATTTTAAATGCAGGTCACACTGCTTATAGTTTTGGGTATTTTGTAGAATGATCTCTGTTGACCCTAGGCATATATACATATTTTCAAATAATTCACAAACAATGATTCACCAACCACTGGTTTTATAAACGGCACGTTTCAATGATGATGTGGAATATACAATGCACATGCATTTTAGGTTTAACAAGAACTTATGTGTCAGTTCTTTTAATTTAATGCGTTAACTCAATCTGGTTTAAAGATTTTCATCATTTTATATTCTTTTGTACATATTTCTTAATTTATGTTGGTTATCCAGGTATCTCTGAGCACTAAATCTGCTATCTGATTTGTTTCAGACTTACCCACAGCCTGTTAACCTCTGCATAATCATCTATTCAAAACCCCATCTGACAATTAAATTTACACTGTTCGCTCCCTCCCCGTCCGCACCTCCCTCCTTTTCTACTGTCAGTCTCCAACTTCTGTCTTTTTAAAACTTTGGACCAAAGATAAAATCTTTGAATTAAATTAAGAGATCATATAGTAGTAGTTAGCTTGCATTCTCCAAATAAATAGTGTGTTTATAATTATGTTATTTTGATAGAAATGACGCGGCTACATGTGCATTTTGCACGAATCTTTGTTAGAGGATCATGTTTTTACACTAGCGCATATATTACCATAATCGCCTCATGTAGAAACGTTTATGTTGCTAAACCTGCGTACCTTTAACAAGTCTTTATGAATACTATTATTTATACACACGTTATAATCTTTCTTTATATTTTCCTTTTTTTAGTAATTTTACGTTCTTTTGAATGTATTACTTGTAAATTATAAACGTGTTTTGATAAATGAATAGTCTTAAAGACTGTTCAGGGTCCTTCAGGCGCTTCGGCCACGAGTTTGTTCTCTCCTCTCATTGGTCCCTTTTCCATTTCACTGACAGACAACCAAACGCTGAAACGGTTCGAGCTTTGGAAAGAAAATCTCCGCGTATTTTCCTTACAGCAAAGTCGGCAAAATGGCTGAGGAGCAAACAGAAAGATCCGATGGCAAAATTGTTAAGATGGAGATGGACTACAGTTCAACTGTAGACCAGCGTCTCCCAGAATGCGAGAAGATGTCTAAAGTAAGCAGAGAATGAAGACTTAGGCTAGTGCCGGCTGAGTCATGGTGCCACACCGCTACGGTGTAAGCTAACAAGCTAAGCTAACAACTCCCCATTTAGCATCTTTAGGAAATTCGGCCTCTATGTGTCACCACCCGGTTACAGTCAAAATTTAAAGTTGATCGAGTTTGTGTCGTAACCAGACAGCTATGCATTTTGAGCATTTCTACCGTTTTTTATTGTTAATGTGAAATAAATTTGGCTAGCATGCTAGCAGCCATGTCGTTGGGTAACATAGCCAACTGGGTAGTAATATGAAGTTGTGTATATATACTGTATATATTTTTAACTCACGATTGATCCCTGTATTTTCTAGTGTGATTCAATGTTTCTATATTTTTCGTGCAGGAAGGAAAGTTACAGGAGGCCATTGAGAGTTTGCTGTCATTGGAGAAGCAAACGAGAACCGTAAGTATATTCACATCTGCGTAGCACTACTGTTGACTTTAATATGAGATTATGTGGGATTTCAGTTTACCCCTGTTTATTAGCAAAATACGCCGCTATTTGTAGCATTGGCCTCGTTCTGTTGTCGTTTATATAAATGAAAATAATAATCACTGTTTAACCTAAACCCCATGTGGATGAACGCTACTCAAAATGTAAAAAATAAATAACATTATTGTATTTATATATAAATGAATATAAATCAGGGGTTGCAGGATTTTTGTGTAATGTGTTGACGGTTGAGTTGACATTGACTAGTCGCTGTTGATGTCATTGATATTATTCATTCATTTATAATAAAAGAAAAAAGCACAGGAGGGAATGCTTTGCTTTAATCTGCATTCACTGAAAACATAAAGCTTAATCAAAATTGTAAAACAATGCGGGAGGAAAAAAACACAGCCAGCAGTTTGTGGGCTGTGTGAAGGCTCACCCAGTGTCTCTGCTAACTGTGATTTAATGTAGAATTGATGGGATGCAACTCGGTCCTCTCATTTTGGTTCCAGGAATTTTGACCTCTCATTACTCTGGTTCCACTCGACACATTTTGAAAATGTGGTTACACACGATCCAAAAAGAAGTTCAGTACACGTGTGTAGTTTTACCAAACACCCTGTATTCAGTGGTTCAGGATGAATAAACTTTCCATAAGAGCTCATTATCCTATCTACCATTTTTTCATCAAGGTGCAATTTATTCATTAACTTGTTTAACTTGTTTGTTTTTTCTGCTTGATCAGGCATCAGACATGATGTCTACTTCCAGAATACTTGTGGCTGTGGTTCAGATGTGCTATGAAGCTAAGGACTGGGATGCCTTAAATGAGAACATCATGTTACTAACAAAAAGGAGAAGTCAGCTTAAACAAGTGAGATATCTGCAGCATTCACAAGAGATGAGACAAATGAGACCCACTTTGGCTTATTTATTGTGTTCCTTTTGTCTCCTTAGGCTGTTGCCAAGATGGTACAAGAATGTTACAAGTATGTGGATAGTGTAACTGATCTTACCATCAAACTGAGACTCATAGACACTCTTCGCACAGTGACTGCTGGCAAGGTCTGTTTGTTTGTCTTTGTTTTAAGACAGATGTGAATTTAAACTACTTTCAAATTAAGTATTGCAGTATTTGTGAGTTTTTTTAAGAGACGTGTAATAACGTTTTGTTCTGCTGCAGATCTATGTAGAGATTGAACGAGCCAGATTGACAAAGACCTTGGCTGGTATCAAGGAGCAGAACGGAGAGGTGAAAGAGGCTGCTTTCATTCTTCAGGAACTGCAGGTAAGCTTTTTGGTTTTCTTAATCTGTAAAATAAAATGGAAAAACATGGACTTCCACACAGGTATTTTCGTCCAGGTGGAGACGTATGGCTCCATGGAGAAAAAGGAGAAGGTAGAGTTCATCTTGGAACAGATGAGGCTTTGCATTGCTGTTAAAGACTACATCCGGACTCAAATCATCAGCAAGAAAATAAATACAAAGTTCTTCCAAGAGGAAGGAACTGAGGTAAGAAAAAGGATGCAAGTGTTAATGAAATTGACAAGTTTATGAAATTTATTTTGTAACATGCTCTCTGTCCAGGATCATTCTACAGTTTTCTTATACATTTGTTTATTTTGATGAACGTTATCTAAATCCCTGTCCCTGGATTTACCCTCTCTCTTTTTATATCTTTGGTTCTTTAGGAGTCAAAACTCAAGTATTACAACCTGATGATTCAGGTGGACCAGCATGAAGGCTCCTATCTCTCCATTTGTAAACACTATCGTGCAATTTATGATACTCCCTGCATTTTAGAGGACAGCAGCAAGTGGCAACAGGTAAATGAGGTTGCTGTGTGTGCAGAACTGATTATACGTTATTCTAAATAGTTTTTGTAACCTTTTCTCAGTATAGTCTGTGTCTTACATACTTCATCACATGTTAAATTATATTTGTTCATCATTATTTTAAAACAGTTGTGTAATTATTCTTTTTTTTTTTAGTAAATGTCAATATATTGAATGGGGATGGCTCGATCTGATACTCGGGATTGGTATCTTTTGATATTAGTCAAAATTTCACGATCGAACTTGGGGAGAAAACAACTATAGCCTGTCTGATCCGATACCTGAGCCCCAAATGCTCGACTTAACTTTGCACGACATGCTGTGAACAGGGACACTATCTGAGCAACACTAGCCCGTGGCCTGCTGGAGGAGAAAAGAAGTTGTAGGATCGATATTGGTATCAGCAGATACTTCATGTGACAGTATTGGTGTCAGATGAAAAAGTCAGTGTATCGAGCCATCCCTAATATTGAACATATGTAACATGGTTTTAGATGGCCCTTTTCTTGCAATTTATATATTAATCAATTTCTTCAGACTAATATCTGGTAGGACCTATTGTTTCATTGTGATAAATGTTGAAGATAAACCTGGGATTTTTCTATTTTTGTTTTATTTCAGGCGCTCAAGAGTGTGGTGTTGTATGTGATTCTCTCACCTTACAATAACGAGCAGTCAGACCTTGTGCACAGGATCAGTGCAGATAAGAAACTTGAGGAAATTCCCAAATACAAGTAAGTTTCGCAATATAAAATTTTAAATAATCAAAAAAGATTTAATCCAAATCCTGCAATATTTCCAGAACTTTCATAAGACATTTTTAACACTATGACATTTTAAATGTGTTTTTTCATATGCAGGGACCTTCTGAAGCAGTTTACTACAATGGAGCTGATGCGCTGGGCTTCTCTTGTGGAGGATTATGGAAAGGACTTGAGAGAGGGTTCTTCTGACAGCCCTGCCACAGATGTCTTCTCTTATTCAGAGGAGGGGGAGAAAAGGTGGAAGGACCTGAAGAACAGAGTTGTGGAGCATGTAAGTTGATCAACTGATGAAACCACAGGAAATAAGGCCCTTTGTATGTCACCTTAAAATATAGCATTTTTTTAAAACATGAGCAGAATGTCACATGTCCACTCAACATTCTGCTCATGTTTTTTTCAACATGAGCAGAATGTCACATGTCCACTTATACAATCAGTTAATTTGCTATGTGCAACTGTAATACTATGGTTTTATGTAATGCATAGTATGACAATGGAGGGAGGGTACTCTGTGTTTTGGATGAGTTTCAGATGTACATGTGGATTTGACCTAAAAGCGCCCATGAAAAACAAAATATAGAAATGTTGTGTTCCAGAGATGTTTCTCAATGATTTTCTATTTTCTCCTCAGAACATTAGAATAATGGCCAAATATTACACCAGAATTACAATGAAGAGGATGGCTGGACTGCTGGACCTCTCAGTTGATGTAAGCAACAGTTTTAACTGCAATGCTCTGGCAAAATGTTGCTCCTAACAGCTTTTCAAAAATAACTACTTATTCAAGTATTTGATTGGTATATGAATTGCTTGTATTGTATAAGAAACTGCTTAATATATATGACTGTTTGGCATTTAGATGTTTTTGCATTATTAGGGATGGATCAATACAATGGTTTCGTATCTGATACCGCAACTTGGAGTATCTGCTGATACCAATATATATCTGATACCTTCTTTTCTCCTCCAGCATGCTATGGGCTGCCATGGCTGAGGCGATAATGTATGGGGGCTATAGTTGTTTTTTCCGATATTCGATCCTGAAGTTTTGACCAATATTAGACTGATACAAGTATCGGATTGAGCCATCCCTAGTTAGTATACTCAGCGACAAAACCAACAAAGTGTGAAGAAAAATATGTTTTGCTTGTTGAGGCTGTTAAATAAACTTGACAGATATCTTTCTGCATGGTTATTCTTTCAGGAATCTGAGGAGTTCCTCTCAAGCCTAGTTGTAAACAAGACCATCTATGCCAAGGTTGACCGTCTGGCTGGCATCATCAACTTTCAGAAGCCAAAAGACCCCAATGACTTACTCAATGACTGGTCACACAAACTCAACTCTCTCATGTCTCTGGTCAACAAGACCACCCATCTCATTGCCAAGGAGGAGATGATCCACAACCTCCAGTGAATGAGCTACTTTTTTGTTGGTTTTCTTTCATTTTACTTGTTTTCCTTTTGTGGGAATGTTGTGGATGTAAGATAATCTGATGAACTATTGGTGCTGTCTTAGTCCAGTGTAAATTATTGGAGAAGAATCAAGCAGCATTTGCAAGCCGCCCCCAACGTTCTTTATTTTGTAATGCCTGGTAAAATATGACAATAAACACATAAGCACCTGTCTTTTTCTTCTTACTTTCCTATTTTTTGTGGCGATAAAAAAAAGATTAAAAAGACAGTTTTAAATAATGGATTGTTCTTAGAAATTATAAGATAGTGCTATCAAATTGTAGATGACTATTCATTCAGAAGTCTTTTGGCTATTTCTGTTAAATACTATTTAATTGAGTAGTTTATTATGCATTTCTAATCCACAACATAGAAACAAAGAACATTTATGAAAAGAAACAGTAATAACTTAATTGGTTTCTCTAAACACATTTTTGAAAGAAAAAAAAAACATTTGTAAATATATTGAAGTCAGATTTTTCTTTTTAGGTCTTTTTTTAGCATCCTTAACTCATCCACTCTCTGGCTCAGCCCTGTGTTCTAGACAGAGCCTCTATCAAACCATACACACAAGTTAAATTTAGTATAGATATCTTTATTTATAGCAAAGCTTCAAATGCAAAATTGCTGTTAGTGCTGTTACAGACATATGTATATGAATTAATTGTTGTTATTGTACTGGGCCATGCAGATTGATTTAAAAAAATGTAAGTAAGTCTGCATGGTATTTTATTTTTTAAACAATCCCATCCATATGCTTCACTATACAAATTACAATGTTATAAGTAATGAGACTGCATAATATAAAATTATATTTACATTGTATATGTAATAAAAAATTATGGTATACTTAATTGTGTTTCGTTATGCACATGGCTGCTGGTTCATGGAAAAAAGGTTAGGGAACAGTGGTCTATGACACAATGTCTTCCTTTGTCTATTTAACATTTTCTGATATTTTTTACAATGATTTGCAAAATAGATTTGTGATGCAACATTAATAATATAACCTGAGATAAAGTTACAATTCCTTACAGCAAACGCACACCACTACTATGCGATATGTGACTCATAAAGATACAAGTAGAATTATTTCACTCTATCTACTAATGGAGATAAATGTAAAATAAGTTAAACGTATCCTACATCTCTATCCAGTCCTGTCCACAACACTGAAAATTAATAAGTAATATCTACTAGATCTTAAACAATGCATATGTATTACTACTATATTACTATCTATCTCTTATTGCTGTGGAACTTTATCCCCGACAAAATCAGCAACATATTAGCTCTTCAAAGTCAACTCTTTTTTACTTTTTAAAAGAGAGAGAGAGAAAGCGAGAGAACTGCGTTGCTAATATTCTAACGACTCTGCATTTATCCTCAACAATAATTATTGTTTATATTTATATTCTATCACTAACAATAACCCAAATTAGATTTACACCTGAGTACCAACTTTAACCTGAAACTGAGAAACCAAGTTATAACCCTTTAGGATCATTGTGTAAGAACTACAGGTCTCAAGAGGATCAGTAACAATGGTCATCGCTCTCTCTATCTCTCTTTCTCTCAAGCTCTCTCTCTCTCTTATACACACAAACAGCAGAGCAGTCCCCTCAACCTTCAGATGTATGCATCCCACTATGCTTTGCGATGGTCTGTCAAGTGGATCCAAGATGGCGTAGAAAGTAAAGCTAGGTAAGTGTTGACTTCCCATTCGCAACCCTTTCACTCGTCTTTTTAATCACAAAGCCACAACCACGAACGTCCCTCATAAACCACTTGGATAATCACGACTGATTTCACTTTGTGCATAGGTCACACCACGATGTCATACCTATTTTATGCACACATACGCCGTAGCAAAATGTCAGGCCTGGTTCCGTTTTGTTTCGGCGAACGTAGCCAGCTAGCTAGCTACATACAAACCAGACAGCTTTTCTTGTTGTGAGCTTTCCAGCTGGGTCTCACGAAAGGCCTTGTTATGACTAACAAGCTAACTTTAAGCTGCGTATAGACCGGCTAGTTTGTCAACACTGTCTATCATGTACCAATGCTAACGGTACGTTACGGGGACACTTTAATGCCTTTTGTGGCTCTGCCGTCATCCCTTGACCTGCAACAGTTAGGACAGACACTACAGTTGTAGCGACTTAGTCAAAGACCGAGATAGTATGCAAAGACTCTTTTTGTTGCTTGCTACATATCGCTGCTATTGACACCCGTGAAGCTCAATAATATTTGAAGAGTGCTGCAGACGAAGGTCTGATCTTTAGTGGAAGATAAACTGGACCAAAAACAACACGGACCAAAAACGACACCCACCAAACGTTTTGGTGATGTCCCCATTAAATGTTTGGCTGTTCAAGACTTCATAAAGTAGGTGTTAGGTTTATGTTTGAGTAGAAATGTTGTTAAATTGAAACTGCAGTTTCCTGGTGCAGTAGATGGCTCAATGTGCTGTATGTTCTTGTTATTGTGAGCATTGGTTTTATGGTCATTGCTATTTGCAAGAGATGTAAAAAAAAAAGCCATGTATGTTATTTGTGAAATTGCTTGTGCTGCTGCCTTGGAACTTATTCCAAACTTTAGGAAGCAGTCTCACACAGTCTAATTTGCATGTGTATTTCATAACCTGCAAGAATTCCACTTTCACACTTTCTTACAGAAATTAGCATTATGGTTTTTAATGATCATTTGCAAACAACCTACAGCACCTGTCCATTACAATGTGCATAGCTACATTGTACAATTTTGAAACTAATGTAGAGAATTACTAAAGGAAAAAAATTACCCTATCGACACATTATACTGGTTTTATGGCATAAAAATATCCACTACATCCTTCTGGTGCAGCTACCAAGATTTACACATCTTAAAAACATGTGTCACAAATTTGCACAAAGGAGAGCTTGAAAATTACCTAAAATATTTCAAAGGTATTGTAAAACCAGACATCCATGTTTTGTAGATTATGTTGAGAATGATTTTGACCTTTTGCATCTTTCATTCAACAGAGACACGGTCCTTTTCTAAATAAGAAAGCAGAATAGATACGTTATAAAGAATATTGATATAATTAATAATACAAAAAATAAAACTTGGGTTAATTTGACACTCTTCATTGACCATATATATAACAACAGCAAGAACAGCAAGATAAAAGCTTTGAGTGAAATGTAGCCCTGGTGTCAGGAGGTGTATGTTGGTAAAATCATTCCATTGTTAATATTTTTATTTCAACCCAGCCATTCTATTTTTGATATGACTTTTTTTTTGGGAGAACAACAAAAAGACATAGTCAAACAGCAATGGGAAAATTGAACCAGAAGTCAGTTGGCTACTATCCAAGGTTAAGCTGTTGGAGCCCTAGTCCCATCAGGTCACAGTGTACCCTCAGTGTACTGATTTTCAAAACCTTCTTTTAACAGTGGTATGCTGTGTGTTATAATTCTGCACTAAGGTTTACATGTTTTTCTTGCCATGCTGCTTTTTTGTTCACTTGAATAAATGAATTAATGAAAGTTTTTATTCTCAATGTAAAACCTAGTGTTATTTAGATTGAATAATTTAAACAAATAAAGATAACATGTACCAATAGCGATACATTTTTAGATTAGGTTTTAATAGATTTGCAATGTACTTTACTTAATGAACTTTAGCATGTTCGGTATTGAGACATGTCTTGTTGCTTTATTAGCTTGCTCATATCGTAACAGAACTAATCATACAGTAAGCCTCTAGCTGCTGAATTTTATAAAAAGTCATAATCATGAATATTTTAGTATAAGATTGAAATCACCATTATTTAAAACAAAAACTCAAGGACTCTGCAAACACATCCCATTTATGGCAGATGCTGAACAGCAAATGTGACATTGTCCTTTATATTTTACTGTCCTTCCTTAAAACAACTGAAGTAATATTCAAATATTGCAAAAAAAAGTGAAAATAAATGAAAAAATAGCAAGGTAAAAAATTCACTTCCAGGACATCTAAAAATAATAAAATACTAAGCTAATAATAAAACACAATGAATATAAATAAAAGATGAGAAACGCAACGTGTCAAAATACTTTTTAATGATTTTAATGATTTTTTTATGCTATTTTTGTGATTGAAGTGAGTTAAAAACTTATCAGAATTTTGCCCAAAAAAGTCTTGCCCCGTCTTCCTCCCTGATGTTAAAATCCCTCCAAACTGCTTACATTATTGACCTACTTTTAATAAAGTACCCATGAGGGCAGTTAGATACTGAACTGAAAGAGGAAACAAATCACATTCGATGACTGGTACTCTTTGTAGTGAAAAGCTGTTACAGCGTATCTGGGCACTGGATATGCACACATTTTGGAGTTTGAATATGTGAATGTAGTAATTGGTTGTTAGTGATATAAATATCAAGTTAAATCAAGTCATCAAGTTAACTTTATTGTCATTCTGCATTCTTAACATGATTGCATTTTTGTGCAGACTCCAGTGCAAATGGCTAATGACAAAAGTAATACATTTTTATTTTTATTTAAAAAATATGAGCTCTTGTTTATGTTTAGTTAGACTGTCACCCATCCTGCTAGAATTATTCATTATAATGTTTTGGTTTGCTTTGTATACTGTTTGTACAATCAGCTGCATTGTTTTAAATTAATTGAAACAAAAGTAGGAAATGGCTTGATACAACCTTTTTTTATGTGCGATACAAATACTGCATCTTGGAGTATGTCAATACGATATCAATCTGATACCTCCTTTTCTACTCCAGCATGCCACAGACAGCTGTTTCTAAAATGATAGTGTCCCTGTTTACGGCATACTGTGCAAAGTTAAGTTGAGCAATTGGGCTTAGGTATCAGATCAGATGGGCAGTTTATTTTTTATTTTTTTAACTGGGCCGATGGTTGATGTCAATGTTTTTTCTTTTTGTTATTTATTCCCTCTTTTTTGCTAAGGAAATATTACTGAATTATTTTAAGTCTTCCCACCTCTTCATTATACCATCTTTTAATGATCACAAATTCAATCAGATAAATTTCTGAAACAAAAAAAATACTCTCAGAAAAATAACTTTCAGAAGCTAATTATAAAAGCAAGAACCCTATTTTTTTAATCATATTCTAACTCAGTACACTCACTGTCTGCTTCCAGGTGTTTTGTCCCTAAGTCATGGCGGACAGGAGAGCGGAGAAGTCATGTGAAGAAGCCAGTAGATTGATAGTCAGACAGGAGTACGAGGCTGCTGTCCGTCACAGCACAGAGACTCTGGAGGCACTTGTACTCCAAGCCCAGTCCTCTGGTGCCACTGTCCCACCGAGCCCTTCAGCCAATGTTGCCGCTGGATCCCTTCGCAGCCGTGCGCTGATATATCGAATTGCTGCTTTTCTGCAACTGGTGAGCACTGTATTAGCAGGAACTACTTATGTTGAGATAGTTTTTACAACCGGTAGACCATCAGAATTGACTGTTTATGAAAATTATGAAATAATTCTTTCATTTTAACATCATATAATTTGGTTTAACAGAAGTAATCCTAGTGTACAGCTGATTTAATTTAAACATTTGTTATACCTCCCATTGGAGCTGTAAATTCCAGGACAACTTGTAATAGAATTGCAATCACAATTGCATATTTTATTGACACTTAACATGAAAGGAAGATAATTGGAACTAAATAAAAGGCTTGGCGCTAGATTTTTGTAAGGTTGACTAATTCATGCTCAATAGCGATGAGTTAGGGTTGAAAGCTAGTAGACTCATAGCATAGTTTATTAAAGACATGCTGTGGAGAGCTGAAGCACTAACTAGCAAACACTAACAAAACTGGAAATGAAAGACCTTACTTTCAGGTTCAGTTGCTCCACTAAAATTACAGACACACATAAATCACTCACTTGTTGATAGTCAAACCATTTAGTTTGAATGTAGGCATTGTTAAGGTGTTTGTTAAGCAGCACAGGGCAGCAGATGTTGTCTTCTAAAATAAATGTATGCAATACACAACTTTAGAATTTTTAAATATGACATAATTTTAAAATTATGTCATCAAGTTTGATTATTAAAGTCCTTGTATAATAGCTTTTGTATTTGTAATGACTCCCAACGTTTCATTTTTTAATTGTTGCCAACAGAAAAAATATGATGATGCAGACGAAGACTGCAAAAATGGTGAGTAGCATTTTAGACTATTTTTTATACTATGTGGACTTTTATTGTTATGTAGAAACAAAATAGTGAACACAGTAGGTTGAAACATTTCTTGGCTCAGTGAATTAGAAAAAATAAATTAATATTTTCTATGTGTAATTCACAAAGTTTGCTAAGCAGTTAAAAGCTCAGTCAACTATTTTTGGCTGAGAAATCGAGACATGGAAATGTCTAAGGGTCCATTTCTAAACTAGATTGACAGCAGATGTTATTGGTTGAAGGAGGATCCAACATTTTTGATAACATTAAAAGAACTAACATATATTGATCAGTTCTTAGAGAAAATGATTTTCTCTTTTCTCTGTCCTGTATCAGTCCTGATAGAGGAGATTGCCAGGAGAGACGGGTCACTACTGATCAGCTTGCGCTCCATGCTGTTGGACGGCAGCTTACAGGAGGTGGCCAACATCCTCTCTAAAGCCTTGTATGGAGAGCCAATGGTATATATTTTAAATTAATTTTATATTAAGTATGCAAAGTACATGTTTACAACTCTCTGATTGTGTGCACACATCTCATGGTTTCAGTTCTTCCCTTTTCAACTTTTATTGTACACACACCATTTCCCATTTACGGCCCTACAAAAGCAGTGTTTAGAGGTCTGTCTTTCTGTGATACAATTTTAAGAGCTAAACCCAACCAAACAATTTCAACTCTGCTTAGTACTATTCTGTTTTCTTTTTCCTGAAATTCATTGTTTATCTCCATTAAACGTTCACTTAAAAACCTAAATGTTCTGCAGTTTATGAGATCTAAGCTGCAAGATTTATTTAAAATGTATTTGAGAGAATACTGCAATGAAAAATGTTTTTTCTTCCACTTTTAGTTCAGGAATAAAGCTGATTTAACAGATCAGACCAAAATAAAAAACATAATTTTTTACTAAAAGAAGAATTGCATAAAGATGATTTTTGTTTTTTCACCCTTTCACATAAAATATCACATCACACCAAAAAAAGGTTGTTGTTTTTCACTTCATATATTCAGGGTTAGTGATGGAAGTATTAATCACCAAAATTTAGATCAACCTAATTTTGTTTTTGTTTTTTTTAAGAATGGCATCGTGGCAAAAGACCTGACCAGATTGAAAATGCTTCTTTCAGAAATAGAGGTAAGCTTCACTTTTGGAGCTTTGTTTTTTTTGCCTGCCATGCATAAAATTGTCCTTTATTCCACTTTGTTTCCAAACCGTAACCCTGGCTGGCTGGGTTGCATAAGAAGGGTCATTTTTCAATTTTTTTTAATTTTCTTAGTTATTTCAACAGTAACTGACTTCACAACATCAACTCACAAACTATAGTTGCTATCAAGTTGGGAAAACAAAATAAAAAAAAAAGAATGCTGGATTGTGCTACATCCGCTTTCTTTCATCTCGGTTTTTTTTTTTTTTTTTTTAGGGACCATGTTCTCATCTAATGTTTTTTATGCCCTACGTTATGATGTAATCACTGTGTTAGCATAGGTGAGTGACATAGGTACAATATGTGAGTTCCCACTTATGGCAAAAGTTGAGTTATATTGCACTATGGGAAGGGAACTCTGATTTAAGTTGAGGATCCCCTGTACAAACAAATTGAAAGTTTGAAAGTTTGTTTTACATAATGTACACATTTCATTAGAATTGGAAAGTGTTCATATTTACTTTGTTAGGCATGTAGCTGAAGCTGGTTATTTCTTGCTTGAAATACTACCTACATTCTATAATAATAATTGTTATAATGACAATAATAATTACAGTACTTATAATAATAATGATAGCAGCACATTACCATTGTTGTTGCTTTTGTTATTGAACTGTCCACTTCTGTCTGTCAGGCTGTCAAACAGGAAATGGCACCTGAGTACACCGAGGACCAGGAGGAAGGTGAGCTAGGTAAAACCTTGATGGATTTTATTCATTTTTTTTCATTGGCTCAACTTTTCACTACAAATTGTCTGTTTGTATTAACAGAGGTCCAGGAAGGCTGGCAGTTCCGGCCACCTCCTCGGGGAGTGACTAGTAGTGAGGAGTACACTCTTTGTAAAAGGTATTTAGTTGTATATTAGAAAGAAAGGCAAATGTGACTTGATGCTCTGTTACTTTATTCATTCACACAACTGAGTCAAGTAGCCGTTTTGGAACAACTATACTGTATGATCTCCATAGACCAGTTCTGTGAAAAGATGAATTGGTCAACTTTTATTTATTAACTAATATGGCCTAGAAAAAGATTCACATAAGATCATAGCATTTAAATATGTCTATAAGTGAAAATCACAGTTATTCATTAAATGTCTCATTGACATTTAATTTTGCTTTTAAGTTGGAGATGTTGTTCAACCTGTTCTAACCACCCTGTTAATGTTGTTTACCCTTTCAGGTATTTGGAGCAGGGTCTGTGTCGATATGGGGCCCAGTGTACATCAGCCCACTCACAGGAGGAGCTGATGGAATGGCAGAAAAGATATGCCGGACGCCTCATCCGCCTCAAACAGCAGCAGGAGAGCAAACACTTCACTGAAAACTACATGGAGACCCTGATAGAGAAGTGGATGAACTCCCTTTCCCCAGAGAAAGTGGTGAGCCCTTTAATGCTTTAGTGCTGAAAGGATGAACAACACCTCAATAAATAGATGCAGTTTCAACCAAACAGACCAACTGGACACAAATGCCCTTAAGATGTTACCTTGAGCTTTTCCCCTCTGTTGTACTTCTAATGAAATGGTACTAAAACCTCTTAAAAATAGCAACCTTTTGTCCTTATGTAGTTCACCTTACTTGACTAATAATATTTTTAGTTTATTAGTTAATTTTTGTTGCCATTAAAACATCGGCACTAATTGTGCTACCCATGTGTTTATAGTTAATGAACTTAATGAATCCCTTGCGAGTTCCTTTTTGGAAATTAAGGCTCCAGCAGCAGTACAGCACCAGTAAAAAAGATAAAAGAATTTAAGTACAACAATAAAATAAAATACAATAATAGCAGCACCCTATCAAAAAGTAAAGAACCCAAACACTTGAATTTCTATGCATATGCAATACAATATTACCTCTATGGTATTATAATTTGACTGCTGTTCTTAGATTTATATATTTATACATATATATACGTATATATACTGTATATATACTGTATGTATATGTATGTATTCATATAACACTTAGATAGAACATTTGTGGACCTGATGTTGATGCTTCTGTATTGTTTCTTTCTAGCTTACCGACTGTTTGGAGGGAGTAAGTGTAGAAACCAGCTGCAGTCTTTCTGTTACTGTCACCACCAAAAAATCCTCACAGTCCTGGACCTTCTGCTTGTTGTGCAAGGTACATTGATATTATAATACTTGCCTAATACCTTTGTAATTGTACCTTGGTTACTTTTCTTGTCATAAAGAAGTTAAGATAACAAATGATTTGAAAAACAACAAAAAATGTGGACTCCCACAAAATAATTTCTATAGAAAATGTAATAAACATGGTTCATAGAATATTATCATAGCCTGTTTAACAAAATGTTACCCTATTACCTGTTAGGATCAACACTTTGACATTTTCACCCAGGGAGTTAGATTAAATGTATTTAGGAAAATAAATGAAGCAGCTGTATTCAAATGTGCTGTGCAATCATAGCTCATCATTTTCCTCTTATTTTTTTCCACAGCCGGCTAGAAAGCTGCACCGCATTGCCCTGCTATATGATGCCCACCGACCACATTTCTCCATCACAGGAGTGTCTCTGGGTGAACAGCTTCAAGCTGCTCCCAAAGGCTGCCAAGAGTGGACTCCACAAGAACAAACAGCATGTACGTGTGTTTATCACCCACTTTTCTTTTGTTTAAAAAAATTTGCACTTTTGACAGGTTTCTACATTCCCCATGAGACATTTTGACCATATAGAAGTACATCCAGTTTCACACCTTCACCTGTTTAACAGACGTATTTCACTTTTGGTATATGTTGCTCAAATATTGATTTAGTGTTTTATGTTGACCTAAATGAAACAACATGTTATTAATGTTTTTGTATTTCTAAATAAATCCTCCTATCCTGACAGTGGCAGCAGACAATGGCCTGGACAGCTGTGTTTACAAGGTGGCAGTGGGCTTCAGCACAGAGATCTTTGGCACTTTTCGACAGACTGTTGTTTTTGACTTTGGCTCAGAACCTGTGCTGATGCAGCGGGTGATGGTGGACGCTGCATCTATTGAAGGTATGTTGTCTCAGTTTTCATGAATGGGCAGAAATTTTGGGTATATGTTTGGTGTATAGTTTGGTGTACTGTTTGAAAAAGTTTATGTTGCTAAATCATTTTTAAAATTTAAAATAAATGTAAACATATAAATTGATGATTGAAATAAATGTGCGCCAGTAGCCACAAACATCCGCAATAACAGGAAATAAACCTATTTTAAAAGAACTAAAAGGGAATAAATATAGAAGTGTTAAATATAGAAGCTAAACAGAATAAATGAGTGGCTTAACTAACCTAGTATTCAATATAAAATCAATATTTACTATAAACAAAAAATCAAAATCCAACTGTTAAAACCTGACAGTAAATTGTACACGTTTAGTGCATACAGAAAAGTGCCAAAAGGAACATGTCAGAACTCTGGTTAACACTAAAGCTAATTGATTTGACATAATTAATTCTTCTGATATGTTTGCACAATGTCCACCACTGACTGGAACCTGACCTCATGGGTGGACACCACTGAAAAGTGTGAACCACCATTTGTGATGTAAAAGTTCAATTTTATGTTGTGTTGGAAGTTGGGAATTCTGTCATACATTAGTATCAGTGCCTCTTCAAAGAGTTTAAACCAATTTCGATGTTCTATCATGTGTTTTCCAGACCTAGAACATTTGATGGCAGCCAGGCAACAGTTACTGATGGCGACAAAGCGCTGGGACCCCTCCTGTAAAACCATTGTAGAATTTCGTCCAAATGAAACAATGGCTGAACTTGAGCGTAGCCTACTTTCCCGCTATCAGATTCCTCTGTCAGCTGACCAGCTCTTCACTCAGTCAGTCTTGGACAAGACTCTGACCAAAGAAAACTACCAGGCCCGACTGCATGACCTGTTGTACATAGAAGAAATTGCCCAGTATAAGGAAGTAAGCAAGTAAGTACTTGCATGTTCCTTATTTTCTCAGACCTGGTTAAAGATGATACATGTTGAATGATAGATAAATATATGTTGTTGTGCCACAAGGTGTCAGGCTTGACCTTTTTTGTGAATTTGCTGCACTGTATCAAAACTTTACTTTTTTATTTTGGATGTTTGTGTTTTTGCAAAAATGTACTGTTTATACATTTCTTTACATTTTCTTCTTTTTTTGTGTGTGTGTTTTGTTTTATGATTTTGTTTTACTTTCCAGGTTTAACATCAAGGTGAACCTCCAGCTGGTTACCAGCTTTATGCTCACCGGCATTTCAGTTGGAGCCAAGTACGCTCAGAATGGACAACTCTTTGCACGCTTCAAACTAACTGAAACACTTTCTGAGGTAAAGGGTTTAGTTTGACCAATAATTGCACTGCATTGCTAGCAAGATTGCATTGCTAGCAATCTTAACAAGTGTCTTTTGATTTTTTTTCTAAGGACACACTGGCAGGGCGGCTAGTAATGACCAAGGTGCATTCTGTCCTTGTGCTGCCTTTGGGCTATGACGGGGTCAGCAGCCAACCGCCTCCTGGTGTTAAAGAGCGTGTTTATGAAGCTGTTATCGAGGAAAAGACCAAGGAATACATCTTTCTAAGGATCTGTAAAGACTGTTGTGAGGAGCTGGGTTTGCTGCCAGACAGAGAAATTCAGGTAATACAGGATGCTTCAACAAAAGACAGAGACACTGTGCTAAAGATTTCAGTCTCACATCAGAAGTGAAGAGTATGACAAGGGTGCTGCTCTGCACTATTTAAATGTGTTATTGCCGCAAAATAACTTGCAGGTGTCATTGAAGGTAAACAAGTAAAATTTGGAAAAAGGAGGTCTTATTTAATAGAGTCACTTTGATGGCACCATTTTGTCTGCTTTTCCTTTATGGTTACATTATGGTTACATCTTTAATAAACTCATAGCTAATTTAAGTCAAAACATTTTTGGTGTTGTTTCCATCATTCTCTCTGAAAAATCTGGGGAATGTGTTTCACACAAGGTCACTCCCTGCCTCACTCAAGGACTGACATTTACTTCTTTTTAAATATTTCATAAATTTCATTAATCACAGGGTAGCTGTGGCTTAAACAAGATTATTTATGATTAGAATTTATCATGATTCACTGTGATAAATCAACAATTATAAATATGAAAAAATGTTTTCTTTTCTGTAACAGAAAGAAAATAATAGCAGGTAGATTATCTGCCAATTTGTGTTTATTCCAAATGTTAGGGAACATTGTCAACAAAGATTTGCAAAAGTATAACTTGAAATTTTTCTCCAAAAAAACTACAAATGTTAATTTGTTTGTGTGTCTGAATGACTAGTTTCTGTATAAAAAAGACTCAAAGAGCAACAAACCACACACACAAAGGTCTGTGATCTGAAAATATGAGTTGGTAACTACCTACAATAGTTGCCTTATTACTACTTACATAATTACTATTTACATAAATAATATGTTGGGAAGTCCAACATTTACAAGGACCTTTAATACTACTAGATGCACTGAAAAATACAGAAAATATTATTTTAGGTTTTTATTTATTTTTTATTGACATTTCCTGTAAGGTCTTGGTTTACTAATCCTTTGACATTCTCCTACTTAAATATCAGGTGGAGCTACAGTTCCAGCTGAACAGACTGCCACTCTGTGAGATGCACTACGCCCTCGATCGAATCAAAGATAATACTGTTCTTTTCCCTGATGTGAGCCTCGTCCCCACTATCCCCTGGAGTCCAAACAGGTGTGTATTCTACCACAGCTTCACCTTAATATTACTACCTTATATCAACATGTGAATTTGAATTGTGACAAAGGAAAATTAATTTCCTTTGCTCACTACTAACTTTTTGTTTGATTGGGTAATTTGCGTATTGGCGATAAACTATATTAATGGGCCGTCAATAGATACTAACTACAAGTTGAAACTTGTAGCTCTTTGTTGTCACATGAACTTTTTTTTTTACTTCTTGCAACTTTACTTTTTTTTTTTAAATCATTGATTAAAAGGAGCAAAGCATAAATGTCATTGAACACAGTCAGCCCCATGTGCCTCAGTCCATTTCTAATTTTTGCATTGCATCTGTCTTTTGTACATAATAAAAATATAAACCTGTTGCTCAAAATTGCACATTCTTCCCCCTGATAAGTTTTCTTTTTCCCCTGAAACCTTAGGCAGTGGGATGAACAGCTGGACCCTCGACTGAATGCCAAGCAAAAGGAGGCAGTACTGGCAATCACCACACCTGTGTCTGTCCCTCTGCCCCCAATTCTCATCATTGGGCCTTATGGCACCGGGAAGACGTTCACCCTGGCACAGGCTGTCAAACACATCCTACGGCAGGATCACAGCAGGTTTGTGCACGTTTAAGTTGATCCATCCATCCATCTTTGTCCACGACTCCGTTACCATGTTGTGGGGGCAGCAGTCTCCATGATCGCCACCCAAATCACCCTAGTACAATAATTAAACGTACAGTAATTTAGCAATTATCTTTTAACAGCCGTAGTCAATAACGTAGGAGTTGCTATCCAAGTAAGATAACCTGAGCAACCGAAAACAAATCAGCTGAGCTCAGATATGGGTTATACATAAAAGTGGTCTGGCAGTTGCTTATGAGTAAATCAAATTGCTTTATAGATAGGAGTGGTAGTATGGACGTAGCCTGAAAAAGTATGTTCTTACTTCCTTTAATTTAATTGAAAATCTTATGTGACTTTTGTCAAAAGGGGGACATTTTTTCTAATCAGGAAAGATCTTCTTTTGCTCTGACATGTTTCATCTTTGGAAAAGTTGACTCTAAAAATACATACCTACCTCCCCTACCTGCCCTCCCAACCCTACACTTATCCAGCGTTAAAAGCAAAGCAGTGTTGCACAAGCACATTAATGTTTACTGAGGTTCATGAAAGATACATGCTATACCTCAGACAACCTTCCAGAAAATGTACCTCCTAAATAAAGACAGTGATGTGCAGTGATCCCTCTTCTATTGCGGTAGTTGCGTTCAAAGACCCGTCACAAAATGGGGAAAAGTCCTAAATTTGAGGCGAGATAGTTATTATAATATTACGTGTATACAGTATTTACCCTTTACGAAGCTCCACCACTATTATCAACCCTCCCTAGACTGTATTACCCTTTCCCACACAATTATATGCACAGTAGAGTTGGTATATAACGTATACCAAATGAAAAAGCAATATAACATTGAATATATTTACTTTTCTCAGATACAGTTAATATTTTAGGTTTAGCATGAATTATAAATATACCATGTAAAATTTAAGACAGGGAAAAAGGTGACCCTTGAGTGCTGTTGTCTGGTGAGAAGGATGTTACAAAGACCACCCTATTAGGCATGGAGTACGGATTGGTCTTAGGAGGGGAAGTTCTTTGTATATTTATTCATATACGTGTGTGAGGTTAAATAATTCTATTTCTCTTTGTCTCAATTGAACCGACGACAGACTAAATCACTTTCTAAATACAAATTAATTGATATGTATTTTGATACACACAGTGTCATTCATAGCAGAGTGGTTCAAAAAGTCAATTCAACTGCCTTCGGTGTTTCATATACTATACTATACTATTATCAAACTTCCCATTTGACATTTTCACTCTTTTCTCTTCTGCTAGGGTCTTGATCTGTACCCACTCAAACAGTGCAGCTGACCTTTACATCAAGGACTATCTCCATCCTTATGTTGAAGCTGGCAATCTACATGCTAGACCTCTCAGGTAAAAAAAAAAAAAAACAACCTTTGAAATGTGTGCAAAAGGGAGTACCAGTCATGATCTGAAAAAACAATGTTTCCTAAGATACATATTTAAGGACCAGTTGTGAAAAAATTGTATTTTTTCATTCTCAAGGGTATACTTCAGGAATCGCTGGGTGAAGACTGTTCACCCAATTGTCCAGCAGTACTGTTTGATCTCCAACACACAGATGACTTTTCAGATGCCCACAAGGGAGGACATCCTTAGACACCGTGTTGTGGTGGTCACACTCAGCACCTCTCAGTACCTCTGCCAGCTCGATTTGGACCCTGGTGAGTTAAATAGGTCATTTAGCATTTAAAGATATGGGTAGGTCTTAAATCTTGAAACTGAATGTTTTGTTTTTGTGAATTATTAATGAACACTACCAACAATTCTAATGGCTATAATAATTTCTTCAGCCCACACTACCCTAATGTTTTTAGGCCTTAAACAGTGAAAAATCTATAGGAATTACTGATTTCTATAGGAAACTTCAAATATTGCCTGATACACAAATGGCTTAATCTAACTATGCATTATGAGAAAATACATATGTATGATCAGTTTTCTAAGAAGAAATAAGGAAAAGTCATTCTAAGTCATTCTGCCCTGTCTTGGCAAACACACACATTTAAAAATCGATTCTTTTGATTTAGCATGGTTTTACTAATATTGAGAGATATCAAAGCCCCTGGGCAAAAGTATTTTGAAAGGAGAAAAAAGAGATGCTTGGTTCATTGTTGTTTTGAACAGGGAAAAATGGCTATGCTTTTTTCCACCCACGTCTGCCTCTGGTGGTTGGTTTGATGAAAAACTCATGTTTGTCTCCTGCAGTCCAGGTCTTTTTTTCACTTGGTAATGATGGACCTTTAACATAATATCTCCCTGTTGTTTGGCTCAACTCAGTAGGAAGAACAAAGTCCTAGCCATCAACACACGTCCTGCTGGATCTTTAGATGTCCTGCTTTAGATGTCCTTAGGAGGCAAAAGAAGCCACAGATGCTAAGAAATGCAATGTTCTGTTAATTGAAATAAAAACAAGTGGGCAGGATGCAGCAGGGATTCTGTTGACTTGATTTCACAGTTGAGGTCTATAGGGATGTCTCTTGCACATCTTTTCTCGTTGTATTTTCAGCATGCTGGGAAATAATTGTTAGAATGAATTCCACATTTAGATTGTGACATTTTGTGGTTTATACAGGCAAGAACATTATATAACAATGTCATTGTAATATCAATTATAACAGGATTGTTCACTCATATCTTACTGGATGAAGCAGCCCAGGCCATGGAGTGTGAAACCATCATGCCTTTTGCTCTAGCTAATAGGGCCACCCGCATTGTACTGGCTGGGGACCACATGCAGGTCAGTGACCACAATGACCACATAACGTCAACCCTCAGCCTCTGGTGTCCACGTCACTTTGTCAAATTCATGTTTTGTATTTGTGTGTTTGTGTGTTTACATATATACATTCAATATGATTGTTGTGAATTTAAAGTGATTCTAATATTCATTGAAATAAACACTCTTCCCCTGATCTTACTGTCACTTTCTTTGACTTTTGTGTCTATCGGTTTCCAGCTGAGCCCATTTGTTTACAGTGAGTTTGCACGGGAGCGAAACCTACATGTCTCACTGTTGGACAGACTCTATGAGCACTATCCCAGAGAATTTCCTTGCCGCATCCTCTTGTGCGAGAACTACCGCTCCCACGAAGCAATCATCAAGTAGGTGTGAGGCCTCGACACTGCCTTATGTCCACCCCACAGATTGTTCATAAAAGTTGGTCTCTATAGTTTTAGGGGAAATTCCCCGTTTAACCCTGGAAAAGTAGTTAGGGTGTTGTGCCCAAATCATTCTTCGACTCTGAAATATTTTAGATGATGAAAAGCTTTTTATATGCTCTACCTTTTCTGTATTTATATTTTCTTCTAATTCTGGTTTGCAGCTACACATCAGAGTTATTTTATGATGGAAAATTAATGGCCAGTGGAAAGCAGCCCTCCCATAAGGACTTCTACCCTCTAACCTTCTTCACAGCGAGAGGAGAAGACATCCAGGAGAAAAACAGCACAGCATACTACAACAATGCTGAGGTACGGTCTACTCATTCGAAAATACTAGTATTAGTTGTCACCCTAATCAATGTGGAATACTGTGTTGAAATATTTGAGAAAGAAATGGTGTATTTTGTTCAAACTAATGGGTCTTACATTGGGCTGAAATAGGAAAAGATTACAAATGTCATTGACTAAAATGAGTTCACACACCTGTATATTTGCTTATGTTTGTGTGTACTTGTATGCCTAATAATGTGTTTATTTGTACCAAACAACTGGCTCTCTGACTGTTGCTTTTCTATTGTTTTTCTCAACTTATTTTAAACATCACATCTGTAAAAGCTTTACTTTAGAGATGCCTTGCTGTGTCACTTTTTTGTTGCTGAGCTGAGTCTCACAATAATCTATGACATGTCATCAAATATCATTTACTTTTAAAGGTTTTACTATGTTTTTCAACCTTTGTCTGAAATGATAGTCGTTGGTACCTGTTGGGTGTCAGTGGTTAATTGATCAACTGACACTACAATATGTCCAATACTCTGTTTAAGCTGTGCTGGAACTTTACAGCATTGTTTTGTGAACTGAAGAAAACACTTTTTTATGAGTTTATGAATTATTAGAAAAAGGCACCACGTTTTTTTTAACAATGTCTTGGTCAACAAAAGATACCGTGTTGATAGTGGTCAAGTCTTTATTTTCTTTATTCTTATGTTGCTTTCTTATATTTTCAGGTGTTTGAGATTGTAGAGCGAGTGGAAGAGCTGCGTAAAAAGTGGCCCGTGGCCTGGGGAAAGTTGGACGAGGGCAGCATCGGTGTAGTTTCACCATATGCTGACCAGGTGTTCCGCATTCGTGCTGAGCTCCGAAAGAAGAGAATGCATGAGGTCAGCGTGGAAGGAGTGCTCGACGTCCAAGGTAAAAAAATGACCATGTTTTTTTTTTTCTTTTGTGTCTATTGGAATGTTGACAGTGTTTGAGTGACTTGATTAGGTTGAGAAAAATACGTACCCAGTTATCATCTGCTTAGATCATCATGCACAACCCATTGCCTGTGAAATCAAGCTTCTTTATGATGCCACCTTTATGATGCAGCTATTTTTTCATTATCTGACTAAAAACTGATACAGAATTGTAGGAATTTAGTGTGGGCATTGTTTCTATTTTACACTAAAGGGAGTCTGTTTCATTCTATCAACACATTACAGACTGTTTTGCTTGTTCTTTACTTGTTTACAGGTAAACAGTTCAGAGTGCTGTTTTTAAGCACTGTTCGAACTCGGTACACCTGCAAACACAAACAGACGGCCATCAAGCGCAAAGAACAGCTGGTGGAGGACTCCACAGAAGACCTCGACTATGGCTTTCTCTCCAACTACAAGCTGCTCAACACTGCAATCACGAGAGCTCAGTCATTGGTTGCAGTTGTGGGAGATCCCATAGCACTGTGCTCTGTTGGACGTTGCAGGTAATTGTAAAGTCGTTTTTTTCTAGGCTTAATATGTGTTTCTTTAAATGATGTTTTGCATAATATTAGCTTGCTTTTAAAATTGATTAGTAACTTAACATAAAGAATCAAAGAAGAAGATCTCTTCTCAGAACCTCACATCTACATCTCTATTGTTCGATTGTACTTCTAAATGTTTTGTAATGGTCTGTTTGTGGTTGCCGTCAGTTTGTTTCTCACTGTGACATATGATTATTGACTGCTTTCCCTTTTACTGGTTTAAATTATCTCCCCTTTTCTCGATCTTTCCAGGAAATTCTGGGAACACTTTATCTCCATCTGCCATGAAAACTCAAGCCTACATGGCATTACCTTTGAGCAAATCAAGGCTCAGCTCGAGGCTCTAGAGCTCAAAAAAACGTATGTCCTCAACCCACTGGCCCCGGAGTTTATCCCACGTGCGCTGAGACCTCTACAAGGGCACCATTCATCTAACCAGGCTTTACATCTCCACCATCATCTGCATTCTCAGCACATACAGCCCTCCTCCAACAAACAAGGTCTACAACAGCAGCAATCCCCCCCAAAGGTGAAGTGTTTTAATGATTTAATTCATACAAACCTTTTATTTAAATTTTGTTTCTAAGATTTTTTAATTCACTCAAACTTTGAGGAAAAATGATCTAATCAGAAATAGTGTTCTAGGTTTTATGGTTTATTACTGATGACTCATGTAGCCCACAAAACCCACTTCTAAGGTGTTGCATCATAACAAATATTGGTTCCTCACTGCTGATCAGTGTGATCAGGATGTTGTGGAATATTGTTGTTTTGTTTTTACCACTGTTAGCCAGTTTATGACTTTACATGAAGCATGAATATTGGTTACAGCTATTGTTTTTTTTGTACTTTTGCAAAAGTTTAAAGTATTATTTTCATCAAAACTTTTCAACTAGTGTTTTTTTTTTTACTTTTATCGTTTAGGGAAAGCATGCCAACCCCACGGAACAGCTTCCGCCTGAAGGATATGGTAAGTGATGTCAAATTACAATATCAATGCTAAATGTGATTTGAAAAGAAAAAAAGTTAGTTATGAAACAAAAGTAGACCATAGAACAGAGGTTCCCATTGTGAGGATTGCTGGTAGTTCATGAGCAATTAAAACAAGAAAAATTTAAATATAATTTTATATGGTGTAGTACATATATTTTATTGTTTTCAGTGTAGGTAGATCACTTTGGCCTGCTCAGTCCAAGTATGTGTTTAAACTTTATTTTTACTATCTTACTGCAGTTCAACCTAATCCAGCTGTGCTGATTGGAAACCCCATTCGAGCCTTCTCACCACCTCTGGGTGCTACACCAGCCGGCATGGGCAAGTCACCTAGTCCTGTGCAAAAGATAGATCCTCAAACCAGTATCCTCTATGTTCCAGCCGTTTATGGAGGAAACATGGTCATGTCCATGCCCCTGCCTGTAAGTTCACTTAAATGAAAATTGACTTTCTTTAATGAAGAGATGTAATTAAGCCAAAGTAAAAAAAAAAAAAAACACAGCCCAAAATGTTCACTCTCAAGTGCTGCAAATTCTATATTTTTACAGGATTTTTCTTACCTGGAACGTTATGAGCCAAGAAGCTAAATTGCCATTCATTTCTTTGCATAATTGTTCAGTTGTTTACCTACTCTGTATACTAATCAACTTTGTTTTACTTTCTAACAGTTGCCATGGCCAGGATACCAGAACCGCTTCGCTGTGGATCCACGCAACATGATCCACCCTGCAGCTATGGCTTATAACTTCAACCTCTTGCAAGCCCAGAATCGAGGCTCGCCCGTTCCGTACAGTGGAGTGGCCCACCCTTCTCCTCTGGGAATGGGCCAGGCAAGCCCAGATAAAGAACCACAGACGGGTCCTGTCAGAAACGGTGTGGCTTTGTATAAAACAATTCTTCAATTGAGACACAGACGCTGTTCTTCTTTATTGTTTATGACCTCAAATTTCTCATCACTAGGAAAATTGGAAGCTTCTTCAAAGTCTGACCAGAGCTGTCTTCGGACGCCCGAGAGAAAAATCAATGAGCTGAAGGAGAAACAGGCAAGCAATGTGTTTCTTTTACTTCTACTTTGTAGCACCCACTTTGCTGCATTTCACTGTTTAAAGTATGTATGTTTGGACAATTTGGAGGTTAGATCTTGTTAAGAGGGGTAGGAGTGATCTGCCTCTTACTATAGTTACCAAAATACTTTAGTTACAGTCGACTGTACATTTTTGTTGATGTTTTCTTTCATTTAAAACAGGGAGATTTAGACACAGGTCAAATGAAAGCTCTGGACTCACAGACAGACGGGCTTGCTGGATTTCCCAATTCCCTACTTCATCGAAAAGATCCCCCAACCCCTCAGAGACCACTCAACTATCACTTGGCACCCCCCAACGCAGCCTTTGCACCACATCCTTCCAATGGAAGACCCTTTCCCACACAGTATCCCATTGCCAGGCTGCCTTTTCGGGTGAACCAGCCTCAGCATCCCAGTATTGCCCATCAGAATCAACAGCAGCAGCAACAACAACTCAGTCCTGCCTATGCTGGCGGAGGCCACAGTGCATCCTTCTTCAGTGGCAATCTGAATACTCACAGGGTCGTTCAGTCACCAACTTTGGATGATCCAGAATCTGTGGGGGCAGAGGAGATTGGTAGTTCCATTAGGAGAGGTCACCATGCAGGATTACCGCAGCATAACAGGGTCAGTAGCTCTGGAGAAGATGGACACGAGGGAAGCATGGGAGGTGGTGAGTACCACACAATACATTTTTATTTTTTTTCACAAAAAACCCATTTAACTCCAGACTTATACATATGAGAGAATTGTATAGTGTCATTAGGTTGATTTCAGAATGCTGACCTCAAAAATGAGTTGACTTATGGATCAGTGCAACTTATACTTCCTCTTCACAAGGCATTTTTGACAGATCCGAGTAATACTCTAGCACAACCTGTACTTGTAGAAAATACGGTGGGTTTATTCTTACAAGATTACAAACTACTACTACAAAGTCCAGAACAAGGAAGAATATCCTGGAATAAAAAGGCTGTGATTGTTTTCGTTTTTTCTCTTCTGTGTGCGTTAACCAGGAGAATCAATACGACTTTGTGTGATTCCTCTTTCAGACATCCAAGGTCCTTTGGCTCTAGAGGCCTTAAGTCTGCAGCAACACACAGCCAGACTTAGCCAGTGGGGGGAGGGAGCTGGTCCTTTCCTCCAGGGCAACATTGCCATTCCACTGCCTCAACAGCTTGCCCACCTTACTCAACCTGGCATGCCTCGAATTCCCCATCATCTGCTTCGAGCTGCAGGCTGGGGCCTTAGTGCCAGTGTAGAAGATGAAGTTTCTTCTCCCTCCTCTGGATCACTGTACAACAGGTACCATTATAGTTCAGTATAACTGTAAATTTATTTGAATTTGTATCCAGCGTCTGTCAATGCCACACATTTTTTTTCCACAGGTACCCCGGCCTCTTAAGAGAGATGCCTCAACAGGAACAGCCTCAGCCTCAGGAGGCGGCTGAAATGCAACCTCCTCCGCAGTCTCGTCTACTCCAATACCGCCAGTCAAAGTCTCGAGCCTCCGGTGATCCTACATCCTCCTTAGCTACCATCTCAAATCACACTGGTACTTTCCCATCAGGACTTTTCCCCCATGACTCCAGCCGTGACATCCTTAATGACAGTGTTCTCAACAATCTAGCCCTACATCAGCAAGTACACCACGGCAACCCCCTTTACAATGCAGGTAGCTACCCACATCAACAACCAGCTCATTCTACCAGCCCTCCCCCTCCCCAGGTCAAATATCTTCTTCAAGAGTCTCACTGGTCCCATGATGGCGCTACATCAGTAAGCCCACCACAGCAGAACCATCTGGTAGGAAACCAGGGTCATAGTCTTTCTTTTGGTTTGCCCCCCATGGGTCAGCCCAGCAGGCAAGAGCAAGTCCACCTGATGCAACTTCACCATCAGCACCAGCAGCAGCAGCAGCAGCAACAACAACAACAACAACAACAACAACAACAACAGCAGCAGCAGCAGCATCACCAACAAATTCAAAGCCAGGATGAGGAGTCCTACCATGCACTGTCTCCTAGAACATCAGGAGCCACAGCCCTTAATAATGTAGATGAGGTCAGAGATGCACATGTGTATATGGTTTGTCTAATTTGATTGTCACTACTTTTGTGTGTGTGTATGCACGTGTCTATAT